TTAATTTTGCTACTTTGATATTTCCTCGGGGCCCAAATGCCTTCCCCCCCTCTCCCTTCTCTGCACACCCCATCCCTGGCTGTAAATACCTGTTAATGGGTATTAACATCATTAGCTAAGTGAGCCCAACAACAGCCTCAGGGGGACTTACCTGCCAACTCTCCACGTGGCTGCAATGGACGTTGTTCTCCCATCCCACAGTCAGGGGTTCAGCACCTTCAAAGCTGGACTTCCAGGGGGGCTTGGAGCCAGCCGGGGGGCTTGGTTTCCATTCCTGCCCATAAGTAAAACACCAGCAGATGCAGCACGTGCAGGGCTGTTCTCTTTGACCTGGGGCAACCCCTGCTGGTGCTTTCTTGGGGTTTGCACACAGGAATCGCTCTGTCTCCTCCACTCCACTTCATCCAGGGTAAGGACATCAAAACCCTGCCCGTTTCCCATCTATTTTCCAAAACAGGAATTTCCAAAATAGGAATTTCCAATCTCTGTATTATATAAATACTAGGCTTTTCTATTCCAGCTCCTCACCCCTTATCTTCTGTTGGGATGGCACTCAAGTTACAAATACTTATCTCACAGCAGGTAAAAACGTGAGAGATGAAACTTCTCCAGAACTTGGAGATATTTTGAATCAAAACTCAGATTACTTTTCTTTTTTTTTAAAAAACAACAACCAAACAACCAAAACAAAACAAAAAACAACCAGAAACAACAACAATTGCTTGTAAGTCTTCACAGCCAATAGAGAAATCCTGAAACCTGGCAGAGAGAGTCGATGTGGAGAGGCCCGACTTCCCCCTGCGTAACTCAAATGCAAAGCAAACATGATGTATTAGTGACCCAGTCCCACAAGGAGGGATTTGGGGGCACAGCAACACAGAACCAGCCCCCACTGTCATGATATCACGATATTGCAGGGAACATGTGAGCTCAGCCTCACTCTGCTGCCATCACTCTTGAGTCCTTGCTGGTGCAAGCACATAAGAACCAGGTCAGAGTGGCCAGATGTGGGCAGGAGCCCTGGGCACAGTGGGCTGCAGGCTCCCAAGGTTTTGGGGGGGTTGTCCCCAGGAAGCCCCCCAGGTTTGTGCCATGGGGGTAGAGAAATTGTTTTGGGGTAGGATTTATTCTTTTCTGCCTCAGAGTGTTTTTCCAGAGTTGACTGGACACCAGAGGGAACAGCACGTTTTGATCTAAACGGTCTGTTTATGTGTTTGGGATTTTGTAAACCAGTAACGAGCTTAAACCACTGGTTTAATGGTCATTTCTTGGGGAATCCTGAGAAGTTGCTCCATTAGTAACAACAGCAGAGAGAGGTAGGGACCAAGGGCTGGGTTCACAGGTCTGCTTTGATTGGGTGAGAAGGTCCTGGGTGGCAGAGCAAGAGCTTCCAGAGCCATCAGCTTCCTCACCTTACCCGCGGGACACAGCACCCAGCGAGGACGTTACCTCCAGGGAGGACACAGCAGGCAAGCTAAGGACAGGTAATCTGATTTGCAGCCTGAACTCTGAATTCTCTTGGCTTCTATGCATTTAAATCAACCTCAACCTCCTTGGTTGCTATTTAATTTGACAGTGGTGCCCGTGGCCCTGTTTAGGCCTGGGCCGTCCCGTCCTTGGCATCTTGACAAGTGGAGAGGAAGACGTGGTCCCTGCCCCCAAGAGAACATCACAGGAACTGGTTTTTCTGGTGATTTAATCATCATATTGACAACTTTATCAAAAATTACAAAACTGATATTAAAAAAATCTCTAATTCTTAGTAAGACTAAAATGGGTTTGTTGTTTTTTTTTTTCTTTTTTCTTTTTTTTTTAAAAATAGAAAAGCACTTTAATGCTACTGGTCTCCTGGAATTCTCACATTACAACCCTACATAGCAAAATACAAACTGTAGCTAAGAAAGGTAGCAGTCCTAAGGTAATTCAGTCCACCACAAGCCCTCTAATATCTCTAGACCATCAAACTCAGGGACTCCCAAAGGACATCACAATACTCATAAACCTTCTGCAAAACTGAGTCAGGAAACACCTTTAAATTTGAAGTTCTTTTGAACCCCTAAAACCTTAGACTGTGAGTATTATAGACCTGGGACATCAGAGGTGGGTTGTTTTTTTTTTTAATTATTATTTTCACTTTTTTTAAACTATGTGGATATAATTTTTGCAGCTGACACCAGCCAAAGGTTTTCTGGCAGGAGTGAAAATATGAAGAAAAATCCATTGACATAAATGGGTTTCGTTGGGTTCGTTTTGCTGTTGTTTGTTTTTTATGGTGTTCACAAAATGCACCATAATAGAAAAGAGGAATATTTCCTTTAATTTGAGCGTCACCTGAATGACTCCACCACATTTGTCACCCACTTAGCAAAGGAAAAGCAGAATAAATAAATAAATAAATAAACAAGGATAAGGAACATTTTTACATCCTCAGAACATCACGTCGTTCCCTCACCTACCGAGACACTGGTCGATGTGGTGGGTTCTCTTCCCTCAGCCACTTTCCTGTGCTTGTGCCATATTAAATGACAAATAAAGTCTTGTTCCACTTTCCACAAAGGAAGGTTTGGTTTGGTTTTTGTTTTATTATTTATTTTTTTGTGGGATTTTTTTGTGGGGTTTTTTTGTTAGGTTTTTTTTTCACCTTTTAAATATAGGAATTCTCTCTTAAATTAGAAAGTAGGCAAAAAGTATTATTATTATTTTAATTTTCATTTTTAAGTCTTTCTGTTAGAAAAAATAGAGATTTGTTGAACAAAAAAATAATAAGGTAGAAAGAAGGGTTGGGCCTCCATCAAAAAAGTAGATTATGCTTTAATGCAAAGAGAAAGAAATGGCTCTAAGGGCAAAATTCAAGTACGAGTGACCAGTTTTTTTAATCGTAAAGTAGGTGCAACATTTTTTTAAAATGTTACAACACTGCATGACCTGTAATGCTCACAATATTTACATTAACTGCTTACACGAAACCATAAAAACCTCTAAAAGAGAAAAAAAAAATAATTAAAATAGTAATTGGTATGGACTGAAACAAGCTACTCCTAGCAGCCACATCAATGCCATTGTTAACCCATGAAATCAAGTGCACAAAAATGCTTTACATGGTCTATTGATGTAAACGTCGGTGAGAAGGTTACAAACCTAGTCAGTTCAACTGCCAAAAGGAGGGTGGGTCAGGACAAATTCGGCTCTGGGACAGAAAGAAAAGGACCTGAACAGAGGGGACTAACCAGGGGATGGGTTCAGAGCCAGGGGGTGCAGACAGAAGGTAGGCTGGGGTGGACGGACAACAAGGACTCCGTGAAAACCAACACAGCAACTCGGAACGGGGAAGCGCCGGGTTGGGCTGCACCCCGGGCCCAGAGCAACCAAAAAACTTCAAATTAAAATCATTCATGGACTCAATCACTTCACATGAGCTTATGTGGAGGATGGTGGCGTTACAGGAAAGACAGATGAACCTACCCCATGGAAGGATGGAAGGAAAGAAGGAAGGAAGGGCTCCTGCAGCCCGTGTGGCCACGGCCAGGGAGGAGGGAGAAGCCGCTCTGCCCTCCCCGCTGAGCCCAGGGCTGAGCCCAGAAGTAGAGCTGCCTGCCCAGGCAGCCAGGGCCCAGGCTGGGGGAGCCACCACATCCTGTTGTCCTTGGGGACAGCTGGTCTTGGTCATGTCCTTCAGAGAGAAGAGCGTGGGACCCGGGCAGGGCGGGTGGGCAGAGGAGCAATGCCTGGTGATCCTGGCGCCGAGGGCCGGGGATCTGGAGAGCAGTGACAGCGCCAGCTTCCCGGGGTCCTGACCCCTGCCAGTCCTTATCTAGAGAGGGAGACTTGGGAATTCTGGGGGGGAGGAGAGGACATCTGAGGTAAGTGGTGGTCCCGGATGAAGAGGTGGGCCTTACAGATTCCACCCTGGGACCGGGAATGGTGAACTGAGCTACTTCGGGAAGCCTTGAAGACAGAGGAACGTCACGGCTCCCGTCACCATCCCCACCACCCGTGTCAAAAAGAAAAATGAAACCCAATGGAAAAGATGTTGTGCTACACTTCCCTTCGGTCATTTTATCATGGCTCATAGCTTTAGACTTTTAAATCTGCAGCGTATTAGTTGTTTTTTTTTCTACATATGTTTCACATTTTTCACTTAATATAACATAAATAATTTGGTTAATAGATTTAACCTGCACATTTCAGCCACATTAATATATATAAGAATCTGTTAATGGTATAAATAATTCTTTTTAAATAAAATAAATCTGATATGTTACATAATACTGATAAAAATTACTGTTGCTAAGAGTTTTGTAAGCCACCTTTAAGTGTTGTTTGTTTTATTGTTGGTTCTGTTGTTTTTGTTTTGTTTGAATACTGCGAGATGGATTCTGGAATTCCTCTGAGGAATGCTGTGGGGCATGCCCTTCCACTCTACTGCAAAACCAAACCCTAACCAATACTGATCACATCCCTGAAGCGGGGCCCCTGCCCCCTTCCAAGGAAACACGATGGTTAACGATGTCAGATAATTGAAGCTAATGAATCTAGGGGTTTGCAGGGGTCAACGGTACGGGGGATAGAAACTGTTTAGCTCCTCAGGTGGCTATGAAACTTTAACTACAGAAAGGGCTGACTAAAATAGTCCATCTACCTTTTTTTTTCTTCTTTTTTTTCTTTTTTTTTTTCCTTTTTAATAAAATCTACAGCATTCTACTTTAAAAGCTCAGTAAATAAAAAAACCCCAAACAAAACAACAACCGATCGTTGCGGCCTTTGAGTTCTGAATTAAGAGCTGTGATCCCACATCCCGTTGGGAATCTGCAAGGTTGCACTCTAGTCTCCTGCAGAGACCTGCAGTGGAGCCCAGGGCTTCCAGGCAAGGGTCATTCCAAGCAAGACAGTCTCAATGGACACTCAGTGGCGTGAAGTGTGTGTCTTAATTAAGGTTATTACATCATCTCATGCCTTCTCTCTGCTGTTAATACAAAAACAGCATCTTTTACATTATCATATAAAAGCATTTAGGCTGTATTTTTATTTATCACTTTACACTGGTAGTCTCTTGTATGTGTACTCAATAGAAACCAAAGAATTTTGTACACTTTTTTTTTTGTACAATAAAAGATAAAGTGTGCATTAGGTACGCTTGTACATGACAATATTGTACAATATTTACATTTCAGATATCACCATGAAATTCTGTATTATCTATATACACAAGGAAAATTTCTCAGAAACATTTGGGACTATTTCTTATAATCACAATTTTAGTATTATAGAAAAAAAAAAAATCTCAGTAATCATCTGACATTGTTACTGCAACCTTTCAAGATTTCTGATTGGCTTATCCAGCAACCACTGCCCCTCCTAATCATCAAAAAATATTGTACCACGGATCCACGTAGCACCCTGTGATGGTTTCTGTCTGTCTCCATATAAATATTGATATAAATTTATCAATACCTACATATAGACTTATGTGCACGTTCATTTTGATAAGTACTGGACCAGTAACAAAAACATTCAATGTTATCTAGAGATCTTCCTCCTCTTGGGTTTTGGAGGCTTCACTTGTCTGTCTCCCTGTGGGATTTGGTGGACCTAAAAATAAGTATATGTACAAGTTAGCAAAGGACAGTGGTCAAAGTAACCAGGCAGTAATAAACAAGTTGCAGGGTTGCTTGAAGGGCTGTTGGGAAGTGGTTTGTATCATTTCGTGTCTACACGGGAACCCGAATGAAAAGGAACTTCAAGAACCTGAAGGCTCTGGGGAGAAAAAGGCTGATGCTGCAGCTGCTCCAGCCTCTGCTCCCTGCAGGCAGGTCACAGCCACAGGCACCACGAAACCCCAGAACGGGGAACTGAGCCCAAAGCTGCCACCATGTCACTTTCTCGGGGACAAACCTTTACCCATCAGAGCAACCAGAGCCAGTGAGCAGGAAGCAGGTGAGAAAACCTCCCCAAAGGGTGAAACCAGAGGCAGCAAAGGCAGGTCTGTGGGAGCGGGAGCTGCTGAGGAACAAGCACGCTCTGCCTGCAGCTCATGTTGGAAAGAAAATGCTCCATTCCGAGCTAAATGCTGGATTAATTTGAGTGTGAAACAGGTTTTGTCACCAACTGCTCAGCAGAGGACAGGCCGGGGCTGGCAGGAGAGGCGAGGGGAAGGCAGAGGAGCTGGCACAGGAGACCACTACCACCTGTTGGTGGGAGCCAGATGCTGTGCAGGGAGAGGAGGCTGCAGCTCCTAAACAGCAGCAGCAAATCCTTCAGCAACGTGCTGAATGATTTCCTTGGGTCTGTCCCGAATTCCTTCAGCCTGCTAACACTGACTGCCTATTTACTGCCTCCTGCCAATAACGCTCTGAGCTAATTATCTGTTTTGCACGTGCTTTTAATTTAAAAGATAATGGATGTCTGAGGGGTAGCAGCTGAAAAAAAATAACTGCAAGTCACTAAGAAGAGAATTGTGATTCCCTGTGAGTGTTTCTAGGCATCATCATCTTTATGGAAATAAACTCTGATCACAAATGTTGTGACCAGATAATTAAAATATCAATCAAGGTGATGTAATGACACACTGGTACATCAGCCTGTCTGCATCATCAAACTACCAAATCCAATTACCACAGTTGCCCCTGAGCCAGTTGATATCCCAGTTAAAACACACATGGCACAGAGCTTGGACTGTTACTGGATTTATAAATGGGGGGAAAAAGGTGAGGGAGGGCAGAATGGTCCAGTCCAAAGACACAACTAACTGGTAGTGGAAGCCACAGGGATGATGTGTCTGTTACAAACATATTTCCCATCCTTATTTCTAACAGACCTACAGTCAGATCCTGCTCTCCTTTTCCTCACAAAGTCAAGAGGGAAATATGTCACTTTAAATCAAAACTCAACCTCATTTTGTCAAATTCAGAAGTTCAAACAAAAGACTTGATTGGGCAATTACTCAGTAGCCACTCAAGGCTACTGAGTAACTGACTGAATATTTCCTGGTGGTTCTGAAATCATCTGAATCTGCAGCTCTGTGTCCATTTCCTTTCAGAAACTCCAGAAGCTCCCCTGAAGTTTTACTACTACTTCTAAAGATGCACAAGTGCAAACACTTTCAGTTCTGAGCACTGAGGATCAGGTAAAATGCTTTTATTTTTTTCTGTATTCAAATGTAATTAATAATTTGAATAATTACCAGTGCTAAGATATGGGAGGTGTTGTTACACACTTTGAATGTTTAAGTGTGTTTCAGTGAAATTACAGCCATGTTTTAAATATGAAGATGGGAACCTTATAAAATACTGTATATAGAAAAGGTTTGGGGCTTCCATATTAACAGGGCAATAATTTTAGAACATTGTTAGATTTGATAGTAGGAATCCTCTTACCTTTCCTAACAGTATCTTTCATTTCACATAAGGAAAGCTTTTCTCAAAGTTTTACATCCCAAAAAAGGAGGCTTTTAAAGGTCATTTCAACCAAATGAGCCTGATTTTGTGTCACTAATCAGGGAAAACCCATGGAATATGAGTGGGACTGGAGCTGATCCATGTGTAAAAAAGTATGTCCAGGAATCTCTCTTTGTAAAAAAATAATACAATTGGCAATGCAAGTAAAATTCTGCAACTTTTCCCATTTCTGAGAATGATTACAGACATTTGCAAAAGGTTTTGAATGCAAGAGAAATATTGAAAATCCCATACTTTTTTTTAGGCAAATAGAACCCAAATTTCTGGTAGAAAGCAACTCCCAACCAACACTCCCAGTCTTTGACTGACACACATGCAGACACACAGAAAAAGGAGATTATTGCTAAAATGAAAAGAAAACTTACATTCCCAGACATTTTGTCTAGTTCACTCATGGCCTCGTGTATAGCAGCTTCTAAATGGTTATTTAGCTTTCCACTTCTAGGGAGAAAAAATTAATACCATCAGGAGCTCTTAGTAACAGAACAAAACCTTAATAACAACAACAATAATAGTAGTAGTAATAATAATTATAGTAATAATTAGAAACACATCAACTCACTGGACATACTCTACTAACTGTAGAGCCTCCCAGGTTGTTACAGCACAAACAGCAACATCAGACCTTGCACAATTGAGCAAAGTAAAGGCCTGTGTTCTAATTAGAGAAGGGAAATGAAAGGCAGCACTTCCATGTGTTGTGTGGTTAGGGGTGATACCCACAGCCAGGTTGTTGCAGGCAGAAATAACAACAACAGCCCTTCATAGTCACATCCTATTTTGTGCATCCTTGGTTTCCATTCTTAGCAATGAGGACTGGACTTTATGGGTTTTGATGAGGAGCAGAAGAGTATTCCAGCTACTCTGGACATTCTCAAGGGCTTCCAGTGTTGCCAAACCCCAGGGCTCACCTCTGCCTGCCTCCCTCACCATGGGACACCCTGCATTTACTTTGTAAATGTGGTCACATTTCATAGAATCATCACAGAATCCCAGACTGATTTGGGTGTGAAGGGACCTGAAAGATCACCTACTCCCAACCCCCCTGCATGGGCAGGGACCCCTCCCACCAGCCCAGGTTGCTCCAAGCCCCATCCAGCCTGCCCTTGGACATTTCAAGGGATGGGGCAGCCACAGCTTCTCTGGGCAATCTGGGCTAGGGCCTCACCACCATCACAGAGAAGAATTTCTTCCTAAGATCTCACTAAAATCTCCCCTCTTCCAGTTTTAATCCATTACTCCCCTTGTCCCAAGTCCCTCCCCAGCTTTCCTGGAGCCCCTTCAGGCACTGGAAGGTGCTCTAAGTTCTCCCTGGAGCCTTCTCTTCTCCAGGCTGAACACCCCAACTCTCCCAGCCTGGCTCCAGAGCAGAGCTGCTCCAGCCTCAGATCCTCATTTCAGTGACATGTCTGTGAAGGACTGATCACACATGCTGTTGTTGTTGAAAACTCAGTGTGTGAGCTGCAAAGTCTTCCTCTTACACCCAAAGCACAAAGCTCCAAGTTAAGTGTCCCTTCTAACTTTAAACAGCCAGAGGAAAACAAGTCATATTCATCCACTAAAATGTTGCTAGTTGTACCCTGGAACAGCAGCACACCAAGGGCTGTGGGAAAGGAAGGGTGAAGACTTTCTTCTTCTAAACCAAGTGATCCCAAGTCACTGGGCCTCCCCATACACATCTGATTTGGCAGTGACATTTTGGACATATGGACAGTTTTTGAAATAAGTTTCCCACGTGAACACCACGCTCTGTATGACAGGTTGGATTTTTGCAGCTCCGTGTTCACCCCTCAGGGATTTCAAATTAGCAAATCCTGCTTGAGGAGCAGATACTATTGTTTGTCAACAGCTTGCTGAGGATCTCTGCTTAAAAGCAGGTGTGTGATATATATTCATATATATGGAGTTCTTTTAGACAGGCTTAAAGTCAATCAAAGAGAAGATAAACAGAAATAAATGTCTGCATAGAAAGCCTAATGGGTCTGCCTGGGTTTCTGAAACTCTGGAGCCACTGCCTGCAAAACCACAGAATGGTTCTGGTTGAAAAAGACCTTCAACAAGATCACTGAGTCCAACCACAACCTAACTCAGCCAACCATTAACCCAACTCTACCAAGTCCAGTGCTTATAACTAGATGTAAGTTCTGCAACCTGAGGGAGTGAAGGTGCCCTGAAGTGCTCTGAGGAAGAAACTATTGCTCAGGGGCAGTGTGACCCCCCAGAAACCTAACAGAACTCTACTTATAATTGATTATCTGTTCCTGACTGCCAGCAGGGCTGACCTGCTCATCATCTAGAAGTAGATTTCAGATGTCAAGTTCCCTATATGTGAAGGGATTTCAACACCATGATGCTCCATCAGCAACCCACCCTTCCTATAAAACCGTTGCTTTAGTCAAAACAGCCATTTCAAAGTCTTTAAAATGCAAATGATCCTCCCAGTTGCAACCTTCAAACACTGGTGCCCTGCTCATTTTACTGGGAAGATGATGCTCTGCCCCTGAGCACCCCCAAAGGTTCAGAAGTGCCCGTTGCTGAAAGACAAAACACTGCAGCTAAACCCCTGAGCATTTGCCAACAGATGCATCAGGTCTCTAGTGATGCCAACCAACCTGCATCTCCATTTTTGATGTTTTAATTTTAAATATAATGGTTTAGGAGTCACACCACACCTCTGAGACATCCCCAAGCAAAACACTTTTGCTTTGCTACAGAAAATATTTCAGCTCACACTGTCAGGGGAAGCTACAAAGCTCTGAGCAAGAGCTGCCACACTTGACTAGGCAACATGCAACCATGACATTTTTTCCTGGTGTCTTGTTTCTTAGAAACCTCAGAAACTGATACACAAAACATTTCAATTTTAAAAAATCAACACTTGAGGTTAGAGGGGGGTTGGAACTAGATGATCTTTAGGGTCTCTTCCAGCTTCCAACCATTCCATGATTCTGTGATTAAGATTCCCACTTGCCACATACTGGATTTAAGGTGCAATGTGAATTGCATCCTATTCCATAATCCCTATTATAATGCAGTTTTTAGCTTTGAAGACATTTTCCATCTTTAGTGTGAATAGTTTTACACATAATATATAATGTCAATACATATTATTGGAGATGAAGCCAAGACTGTGCAGTGAGGGAAAAAATTGGACAATATCCTAGGGCTGTGACAAGAACTGTAGGAAGATGAAGAATCATTTCTGGAGTCAAGGAATCTGACTGTCCTTTGGAGGATCTGGATGCTACCCCTGCTCTGCTGAACACACTGCAGCTCTGTGATGCTTCTCCATGCTCCCTCAACAAAGATTTCTCCTGGGTTATTTCACCTGTGTCTTCTTTACTGTAGAAATGGCTCAACTTGGTGCCAGTGACATGGCAAAGTGCTGAGTATACAAGTAGGAGACAGAAACAGGAGTGTTCTACACGTGGAATTAAATCAAATGCTGGATGCTTGCAAAAACTCCCAATCTCTGAGTAACAAGATACTCCAGAGACATGTACCAGACAGAAGACCACAAGGAGATTAATAACCTTTTCAGATAAAGTTACCACAGCTCCCAGGAAGAAGAGAAAGGGTTGATGAAGAAATAACAAATCTCAAAGTTCCCACAGCTCCCAGGAAGAGAAAGGGTTGATGAAGAAATAACAAATTAATTGAACAATCATAGAATCCCAGACTGGTTTGGATTGGGAGGGACCTTGAAGATCATCTAGTCCCAACCCCCCTGCCATGGGCAGGGACACCTCCCACCAGCCCAGGGTGCTCCAAGCCCCATCCAACCTGCCCTTGAACTATGAAATAAGCACAAGTAGAAATATGGAGAGAAGACCTCAAGGGCTGTACAGCAGCCCCAGGAAAGGGGCAGCCAGGTGCCCTGGCTGGCTGGGATATCTGATATGGGCAAGCAATGGAGCAGAACCAGCCAGGCCCCACAAAAGGCCCCTGGCTTCAGTGGAACTGCAGCCCATCCCTGCAGCCTGCTAAACACAGAAATCCCCACCAGAAGGTGGGAGAATTCCTTAAATCCTCCTGTTTATTCCTGTTTATTCCAACTTTCTCCCCTCTTTGAATCAGCTCCTGGGGTCACCCTACTTGAGTCACGTTCCTCCCTTCAGGGACACAAGCCAATAAGTGGGGAGTTGCCCTTAACCTCCAGTACCCTTCAACTGCAGGAAGATATTTTGAGGATGATCCTGGAAAAAAAAACCACACACACCACCATTGCCTCCTTGGCATCAAAACATTTCTCCTCAGCGCCGCGTGACATATAAATAGAAGAAAAGCTGACACCTTAAAAGGAGCTGTAGGCAAATCATTATTTAATTCCTTGAAGCCCCTGTTTGTCATGCTCAAGCTTTGCAAGCTGACCTGAAATCTGCCCACAGATTCAAAGGAATCTATTTTCACTGCAACAGTAAAAAAGCAGCAGCACCCTAAAAACAAATTAAATCCCAGAACAATTTCTACTTTGCTCTCCTTTTATAGCTGTCCAGGTTGGGTTTTTTTTTCCCTCCTAAAACCATTTTCCTCTTTTTTGTCTCTGCTGATGCTTCATGTCCTGATGTTTCCTGTCTCATGGTCTTTCTATCCTTGGGCATCTGTAAATAAAATCTAAATGGGAAGAGGAAACCAAGCAGTTCAGACATGCCTGACACTATGGAAAGCTCTGCTAGTTAAACACAGCCAGACTGCAAAAACTGTGAAACCCTCCTCAGCAATGGGAAATAAACTGAATTTATCTGAATAAATCTGTGCTGTGCCTGCATCAGCAGCTGCCACAGGGAGAGGGAAGAGATAAGAAAGGCAGATCTTGTTCAAAAGCCTATTTGGTCAGAATGGTTTTGATGTAAGTGCTTTCTTTTTGCTGCAAATTAGAAATCCTACACATGAAAGCTCAAACAAGTAGGCTGACATTTTACAAAGGTAAATATCAGAAGATGCAATAAAAATGCAGATATCAGAGATCTCAGATGATTATCATAACCAACATAAGGAATTCAGAACATTAACTCTTCTGCTTGGTCACTCTGCTGAGCTCCTCGAAATGAGAGTCTGAGCAAAATAATTTCATTATTCCATTTCACCAGTAAATAAATGATCTTTTACTTACTTTCTGTTCCTTTTCCTGGCTCGGTTGTAAGCTTCTAGACCTTCTGTTAGTGTCTTCAACTTCTCTGGCTCCACCTGAGTGAAGGTATGAACACCAAACCACATTACCCAGACCTGCAATTATTAAACATTGCTTTTACTTCACTGCTAGACATGCATTATCATGGAGCCTAATTTTCACTGCATCCATAAGACAGTAACCTTCCCAGCAAACAGATGCCTGGCTACACACACCCCCTCACACACATCTGCAGAGATGACAGTTTCTCTAGATGTCCACACCACCAGCAATAGAAACACAAAATACAAAGCCATAATACTTAAGAAAACAAAACTAAGAAGGGAAAGAATATTTTTTAAAGCTTGGTGTGTCTTTATATGACTGATATGAACACTGCTGCTGAAGTCTCACATTCTGTACTCACATTTTACAAATGTATTTTACACCTTTGAGACCACCTGGAATGCATTAAATTACCAAGTTGCCTGGTACACATGATACAATTTTTACAGCTGCCACCAACACAACAGGTTTCACATCACCTCAAATCTCTGGATAAAGTCTTTAAGTCCACAGTGCTGCTAATGGCATGGCCAAATTTATTCCCATTTCAGAAGAGCCACAGTATGTGCTTAACTTAAAAGGCTTAAAAGGGAAGTGGGCAGGCTGACAAGCTTTATTTCTGCATTATAAATCTGTGAGACTTACCTACAGCTCATTTATTGGTCCTGAGAAAGGCCTTTTAAACATTTTTGTTACTTAAGCACATACTTCAGCCCTCTGCTGAGTCAGGGATGAATCTGAGCACGTGCTCACCAGGGCTGCTGAGCTGGTGTTCAAGGGACTTTAACTGGAAATCTAATTTCTCTTGAAATTAACCACAATTATTATCTGTTTATAAACCACTACACAGAGTCACTGGTGCCAGTTAGTACTCATATCAACCACACAAACATGAAAGAAAATTAATTCTATCATCTGTAGGATTTCATCATTTGCATTCTCAAAACATCAGTCCACTGAACTCCACATATTACTTTGATTTGGCTCAGTCATTTCTGCTGGTAAAAACAACAACAAAAAAAGGTATTTAAACACATCCATTTTAAGAAAAGGAATGGGTAAGTTCCTTTTTCTTTGTCAGCTTGGTTACATTTTGCTTGACTTATTTTTTTTTAACCTTTGCATAACTTAACAAGAACCTTTTACAGCATTTGTTCCATGAAAAAGTACAGCTGGCATTCTGACACAAGGCAAATCAATTCTAGAAACACAAAATTTATTAAGCATGCCTATACACAATCCCAAAAAAGAAATCTGAATGCAAATCCCCTCTAAACCCAGCCTTTCAATTATTATTTGGATTCACAAAGAAACTGAATTTTAGACATGATGATGGGAAGTTAATGAGTGAGGAAGTTGCCAGCATCTCTAGACATGAGGCCCAATATCATACATGTAAAGACCAAATTTCACATGTCTCCAACTGATGTATCTGAGAATGAAACTGGGGAGTAGTAACATTTCAGGAGGTGCAAGAGTCCTTACTGGTGAAATCTGCACAGGAGGAGGCAAGATTTCTGTTTTCATGGAATAGACCCAATTATGGCCCAGATGGTTGAGCTTTTCCCTTAAAACTGTGCTAACTTTTACTGGGAGACTGCAGATACTTCCAATTATTCCTCTCCTAATCAGACTTTGGAAAAATACAAAGGCAGACATAAGAAATACCCTCTGTTTCAAAAGCTGGGGAGCTTTTCTATGGATAAACATGAGGGAAAAAAAGGCATGTGAGGCTCACAGAATGAGCTTTGGAATGCTTTGGAAGCTTGTATGTTCCATTCCCTGCATTAAAATGGGATTACTGGAGGAGATGTTACTTTCTCTGCAATATATTATAGCTCAAGCCTTCATTTGATAGAATGCTTGAAAAACAGCTACAGAAACAACTTGTATTCTTCAAACTGAATTAAAGGGCAAGAACACAATAATCCCAATCCTTTACCTTGAAAACTTTACTGTGTGCTGGATTTGTCATGAATGGTGAATTGTACATTAAATGTACCCATGATATATGTGTCTGTAAGGAACAAATATGCAAAGGCTTGTGTGTGTCTGCCTCAAGGTACGTAAGAAAGCTGAATGGTAAATACTTTTATGAAGATCTAGTATCACGTTTGGGTAACAAGGGACTTAAGTAACAAAAAGGAACCTGCATCTTCATGACTGGAACCCTGTGATGGTGGAACAGCAGAAGTCCTGTCAGCACTTTTTTGAAGCAGCAGTGCCACTGTGCTAGCAGAGCAAGGTGTTGGAAGAGAGTGTTGCAGATATATTGGAATTAATAATGTCATATATCTTCATTTCCAACCAGCCATCACAACACTCAGTGATACATACACCTGGGGGTTTCAGGACACTGATAAATCACACTTATTGCCTGTAGAACCATAAAAGCTCAGTTTAAAAAACCTAGCTCAACACAAAGTCCTGTTGAGAACACTTGCCCTGTAAGATCACTATGACAGACACTAACAAAAGGCAGCTACTGCTCACACAAACCTTCTGGATAACAACAACATTAATTCCTTAATGAAATACACATGCTCTGTTTTAGGATTCATGTCACTTCAGACTTGCTTCTTGCCCTTTCAGAAAATTGCTGCTGCTACTGCTGCACTTCCCTTGGGTTCCTCTTTAATTTTCCAGTAGCCAAAAAGTGAGTGTTTAAAGGTGCAAAATCTCCCCCTTCTCCTGGTATGGAAACACCATTCTAGCTGCTCTTCAAACAGAAGCATTATTATATGTAATACCCAAAGTCTTTGAAACAGAAACAAAAATCAAATGATGTATGGTAGAAAGAACAGAGAATATACAAGTACCATCAACTCCCACCAGCACAGCAAAACTAATGTTACAATATAGGAGGTTAACATTTGATTACACAAATACTTGAAAAGATGTTTTAAGAAAGCTCTGCAAAAAACACCATTTTCAGAACTGCTGCTGGTGACTGCACCATGAATTGTAACCTTTCAGTTTTTGCAGGGCAGAATTTCTGGAGGCCATTTGATTTGCAAGGTCCCTTCCTTTTGGTTTTCAAGGTTAATTTCTTTGGTTTGGTGTGGATTTGTTGTGGTTTGGGTTTTGTTTTTTTTCTTTCTTCAGACCAGGCTGCCCAAACATCTGCAGAATGTAGCTGTACAAGATGTTACAGGAGTGTCTGATTGCCACTGTGCATGGCAATTAGATGGGCCTCTGAGCAACCTGGTCTACTGGGAGGTGTCCCTGCCCATGCAGGGGGGTTGGAACTAGATGATCTTTAAGGTCCCTTCCAACCCAAACCAGTCGGGGATTCTATGATATGAAATGGAGCTATTAGACAGAAGATGCACTTTTTCACCTCTCATATTCCCCTGTATCCCACCTTTCAGCCTCAACTCCTGTCCTTTGGAATGGTCATTCATTCTGCACTTCTTGGAGAAAATTAGACATGCTTTTTTTTTTTTTAAATTTAAAATGATTGTTACTAAATGACAGTCCTTCTGATGTGAGGGGTGATCCAGTACGTGGCAAATCCTCCTGAAGAACTTGGACCACGACTCTTGCTGCCTCCACAAGTCTGACCAACCTATGCATTGCCAGTTTGCTTCAGCATACACCAGCATCTGTGCCACTGAACAGACCATCACACAGTGCTTATACAGTGCACAGAAGAGACACACAACTGAAGAGGGCAGCTTTGCACAAAAGCAGCTGTTTCATTCTGGTACCCACAATGTGGGGAGTAAACGTAGAAAATTGCTAAGGAACGCAAATGAAAAAAATGTCACCTCTTTACAAAAGTTATAAGAAAGGAGCTCTTTGAAATAGCCACATAGACTTGGATACACACTTTTGTGAAGTTAGCACAGAAATGCAGACATGGAACAACTCTGCAGTTTAATTTCTCTATCTGTAATTCCTATGGGACAGTGATGCTGTACACCAATTTTTTCCAGTTTTGTTTAACCTTATATAGTTTGTGGTCTGTGCCTATACTTTACCAACTGACTTGTAACTTGGGGAATCTAACCTTTATGAGGAAGGAGCTCTTAGGCCTTCAAATTGTTACTAAAGCTTGATGATTTCTTTATAAATACTTTCGTTCCTTGTACTCAGATGGGAGCTCTTTGAAACCTTTGTGGCTAAGGGGGTCAACAGAGAGGCCACCTGTAAAGAGAGACTAACCTTCTCTTGAACTAGGGTTGAAACCATTCTGGCCAGATATCACCTCAGTTATTTATAGCCCAAATTCATCAAAGACTTGTTTGGGGAATAACATTTGCACATCAACCTCAGGCAACTCCATGATTACCAAGTGGAATAAGACCAGCAGTGGTTACACTATAGATACATCAGCTCCAGCTCAAGAAGGTCCTGAGCTTTGCACTGGTAGGAGTCAGAAGCTGATGGTGAAGAACCTCTTGTCCTCTCTCTCCTCTGGATATCTGCTGTTGGCCACATTCTGGGGGAAGCAATAATTCAGCCCAACTCACAATCACTGCTCTTATGGCTGTTGTTGTGCAATGCACAAGGCAGGGGTATGGGGAAGGAGACATGATTTTTAAGTAAAAATAAATAATTTTTGATTTATGTTACTTCATTAGATCTTTCTGCTTACATATTTTATAAAATTGCATTTTATAAAACAGCACTTAGGATCTTCATATATGGAAGATGTGAAATATTTCATAGGAACTACAAAACTATGTTATACAAGTAGCGGAGCTGAGAATTTGAAATATTTAACATAATAAAATAACCAATAACTCCTTGTTAACAGCATTTTCTGTGTATGCCCCAACAAGCATATGATTTTTTTGACAAAAAAGAAAAGGATTTTAGACTGAAAGAGCAGGTTGGAATAATTTTCTCATTATTAAAAGATGGTCAAAACCTCCTTTCAAGGTGAAAAAGTACATGCACTTCCTTTTAAGAGTGTATGTGTCAATGGGCAAGGTTTTCCTTATCAGACTCCTCAATCTGGTTGTATCAGTTTTCATTCTTGCAGTTTTCAACACTACTTTTAGAGTATCTCCATATCAATTTCTCTGGACACAGCCAGAACCTCAAGGCAACACACAATGCAAGTTAAACAGTTTTTCTGTTCACAACATTTTTTTGTCTAGCAAGTCTTTTGTGCACAAATTAGTTAGTAAAGCATAATCAGGCCGAACCAGAACCTGTTTCATGGCACTGGTGGAACTTTCTCATTAGGTAACCATGGGAAAGCTGCAGTTCTGCAAGCTGGAGTAAAGAAATAAAGCAATTTGTACCTACTAAAATAAGAGACAAAGGAAAAAAATAGAGCGGACCGAGATAGTTTCGATAAACTTTTGTATGGGCACAGGCAGAGGTGTATATAGATAGATATGTGCATAGATATATAAATATACCTTCCCCTCCTCAGCGTTTTGTTGACATGAATTGTGAACTTCTTCTTCTCTTACTAGCTTGCCAGGCCATGAAGTCAGTCCTTTGATTTGGCCCCAGACCAAGTCGCCAACATTAAACGTCCTCGGCCTGTAATGAATCAGCTCATTTGAAGGGGAGTCTGGGTTCCTTAGGTCATCTTCACTACTGATGCTTTTAGCATCTGAAGGGCTAGGCACACACCCATTAATGCTTTTGGCATTAAAATCTCCATTGTAATGGATATAGTCTTTAACTAAAGAACTTTCCAAGCTATTTGAGGAACTTGGAGATTGCTCTTCCAGAACCAGGTCTTGTTTAGAAGTGTTCAGCAACTCCCCAAACCCTCTGTTCTGCTGAGGCCTGTTTCCGTTGATGTGTGCACATCGTTCCACAGTGTTCTCCAGCCTCTCCTTAAAACTCATCATAGTTCTTTTGTAATTGTTATACCTGAAATTCTCCTCCAACATTTTGTCACTCTGACAGTTTCGCTGTGACAACAGTATCTGATGCTGCTCGCCTTGCAACAGTGGCAGTGTGGAGATGTTGTTGGGCCTTTCGTGACAAGGACTACTATGGATATGGGCAGAGTGGTCTAGAAACTCATCACATTTCCACCTATTTATCTCACTGACAGGACTTTGCTCCCCTTCCCACTGTTTTTTGGGCGTGTTACAACTTGTTGATTTGTAATATTCATACCCATCCCCTTCACTTGAGTTTTTACCGTGCTCTGAGTTCTTCAGTATCCGCGTTCCTCTGGTGTTCCTTATCCTACCTTCGTGATCAGAAACCCCAACGTTTCTTCCATGGATTACTGCACTGACAGCACTAGAAAGATTTAATGGGTCACCAATTGAGGCTGTGAAGGCACTCATGGCACTCAAAGCTGGAATGGGACTCATTTGTGTGGTACTGCTAACAGCAGTGGTGATGACTACTTGCATCCCTTTGCTTGCAGCATCTACAACCGCTTTGTAGATAGCGTCCACCGATGTGTCACCCTGAGCAGCAACAGTGAGGTTATCCTTTGCCTGTTGTCCAAGAGATGGTTCAGTTCTTGGCTGCAAATCACAAGATGGTTCTTGGAAAGCTGGAAGCGCAGCGTTGGAGCTCTCAGGAACTGGTGCCATTCCCATTTGAGTGATCATTCTTTTGTTGAGGACAGCAGCGTCTTCCTGCATTCTCACCTGGGAAAAAAAGTAGAGGAGAAGATGGAAATTACTGTTCTGCCTGAAGTTCTATTTCAATACTCATGTCAATCAACAAATCAGTATGATGGCCAGGGTGCCCATTTCTTACAGCACATTTTGGGCATTCAACAGTTAGGAAGCTTAAGGCTGAACAAGCTAGACAGAACACAAACGCAGCACGATTTAGAGACAAACTGAACCACTGGCTCTTGGACTTTGCCTCCTGGATCAAAACAGACACCTTGCCTGAATTGATACCACCTCCCATGCACTGCTGAGACTGCATTATCACCTCGTCCAGAGTCTCTTCAGGGATTTCCTCTTTGGATTGAAGTGCAGCATCCTCCTTCTTTCTCTCAAGTCCTAAACAACTCCACCAAGGTCAATGTTTTGGTTCTCCAGTGATCTCTCTCATTCCTTCCCAGACCCTAAATTTTGCTTCTTTCCTCCCTACCAACTGCTCTTCTGGGCTCCTTGTGTGCTCTCCATCCAATTGCTGGAATGGAGGCCATCCCTGACCTTTTGGAATTGGCTAACATTTCTGGTTTTTCCCCTTCAGTTCTGAGCTTCTCTCACGGGATCTCTTTGTACTTCAGTCCCTGGTGAACCTGCACTTTGCAGGGCAGTTTAATGCCAGGCACTGCCTCAGTAAATTGTAACCTTCAGATGACAGAAGCTGTGCTGCTTGTACTTTTTGTTGTCACTTATGTAGGCAGTGAAGAGGATGTCAATACTTGTGTTATAACAAAAAAAAAACAACTGTAAAAAAAACCCCAAACAAGCATAAAATATTTCCAAAACCTCCCTCCAATACTTACTATTTTGTTACTGAGAATCTGAAGCCAGAAGAACCCAACCGAGATAAAGCCAATAAAATACACACAACAGCAAAAAGAGGTGACAGGCAGTTAGAGGACTGTGATTTTGTAATAGCAGTGAACCAGCCACAGTGAAAAAATGGCACGTCCTCTTTCTCCTTCTGAAAGGGTAAAAAGCACTTTCTGGGACCACTTGCATGTTTCCATCCTCATGTATTGAGTAACACTGAATAATGATGATAAATATGTATTGTAACTCCGGTTTTATTACCTATTTTGGCTGCTATGCTTCCAAACTGCATGATGAAGATGTGCCTGTTTAGGTGGGCACAGGCAGGTGTCAGTTTTGCACAGTCTGTCATTGTATGTTCATTCTAGTGCCTGTTTGCTTCTATCCCATCCCAACCACAGCCAGCTCTTCTATTCAGTTGCACTGGGAATATGACAGGACTGACACACACGGTCACCTATAACGATTTATTAAGTTTCTAATTACTGTGAAGTGGTATCAACTGTTATTTCTCACCACTGAATCATTCGAGTGGTCTAATGGGAATTTATGATCATTTCTGTGGAATGGAAAACTGTGATGCTAAAAAAGTACAGTAACTGTCAGAACATAGATAACATTTTTCAACACACGCAGCACAACTCTTTCCAAAGGAACTATATCCAGTTTCTAAGGAAGAAGGTGCAGAATTCCAGTAATAAATGTTACTGATTTGCAAAATCCAAACACTACTGGAAGAGACAGCCAATTGTATGTGTGTGTCTTAATCACTCAGTTAAAATAAAATAAAATAAATCCAACTATGGAGGATTTTACCTACTGACAGTTGCCCATTTGTTTGGATATTGATTTCATTTTGCTTCCTACCTGGAAATTCTGGAACAGACATGCCATGGGGTTTGGGTTGTTAGCTGGGCCAGGAATTGGGGGCTGGCCTTGAAAGCCCTGCATGTTCTGGTACCCCTGGAGAAGGTGCTGCTGCTGCTGCTGATTTGCAGGAAACATCTGATTATTGTTTAATAGCGACTGGAGATGACTCAGCTGATGGTTATTCAAAGTAGTGTTTAAAGATGACATGTCACCTGTAAGTCAAGCACAAGGAAACCTAAGTCAGTTTAGTCCTCACCACTCCAGAGGAATTCCCTTGACTCAGCATCTAACTGACTGCTAAGCAAACACCTTTGTAAAACAACACTCTTCCCTTTCAGTCTCTTACAGACTGGTCCTCAAGGCATGTGTCTCCTACTCTTTATTCCTTTATTTCTTCAGTATTGCTTCTTTGGCACGTCACATCTACCTGGGTTTGTTCTAAAGGGTTCTGACACACCTTGGGAATGGTACACAGCCAAGTATGGCAGACTGAGCATCTATCATATTCCATGTCTTGGAATTACTCTTAGTTCCCAAAGAGTGACTGCTTCAAACAGTACAGGGCTGGTAGGGGGGAAGAGGAGGAGGAGAGAGAAAATAATTTTAAAAACCCAAACCAACTAGTTTTCCATTAGCTATGATCAAATAATGTGAGCTCTCAGCAATGGAGCAAAGGCTTTTTGGCTCCCAACACTCTAAACATATATTTTTACATTCTAGAGAAATAAATATATTAACATTTTGTATTACACAAAAATCTCACTTTACATGAAAATTCTAGTCCTGGTAAAATAAATACACTCTTGAACCTGACTTTGTAAAATAATAAAGCTTAAAAATATCTCAATTTCCTTTTTTTTTTTTTTTTTTTTGGTGGGTTTTTTCTTAATTAAAAGCTCCTGTTTTTCTTAAAGTTGCCATTTGAAAAATCATTTGTTAGTTGTATTTTACACAGAAAATGTAAAGTTCAGGATAGCCATTTAGTAGGCAAGTATGAGGTATTAAGGAAAAATACTTATCAGCTCTTTGCCACTATTTAATTCCCCCTCCAAGTCTGTTTATTAGACTATGCAGATCAAGCAACAGAGCAGAGAGTACAAACTGTATCACATATTCTTGGTAAAAATCATCATAAGACTCAGGAGGAAAAAAACCTTGTATTTAAGAGCTTTTTAATCACTTGTTTGAGAGGTAGGTGTTTGTCAAGTGAGACACCCTGTGCTTCTAAGCTACCAGCTAAAGTAAAAAAAACCCAACAAACAAAACCAGAGAAAATCTAAATGCACAATAAAGGGCTCGAAGGGCAACCTTCCTCTTTGACCTTGTGCAAGGACCTACTTCAAGTGCTGTCTGGATTACTTTACAGGGAGTGTGCTCACTGTCTGGGCAACTTTTGATTCCTTTAGGAAAAATGCCCTTGGCCAGTCTTCCTCTCCCACAGCTACTCGCACTAACCCTGTGATGCCACACGCACTTGAAGCCAAACGCCGCGTCCCCGAGGTGACCCTGTGCTCTCACTACTTGAAAAATGAAACAAGTCCAATTGCTTACAGAATTTGAAGGTGTAAAATCAAGAGAGTAGGTCTAGGTGGCATCAGAATTAAGAATGGAAGAGAATATAATTTCCAAAACCAGTATTAAATGCTGCTGAATGAAATTAGAGTCTGGTTTAAATTTCTTACAATAACAGTTCTGTTTTTCTCAGGAGAAATAAACAAGCTGTAACACACAAAAGCCTTAAAAAAAAAAGTATGATAAAGTGGAGTCTTTAAAAATAGAAACTAGAATCCAAAATTCCCCCTCCCCAACCCTCTTTTTTTTTTTTTTATCCTTTTATATCTGTGAAGAAATTGAACTTACCAAGCAGACCTGTCCCCAGTAGAGGGTTAAGTAGCTGTGGCACCACAGAGTTATTGTTGAGTTTAGCTGGACTAGATGGATTCCCAGCACTATTAGATATGTTCAGCAATGTTTCTGCCATTGACACCACTGCTGTCCCACCACCCAGGGTGGAGACAGACAGTGCTGCCACTGCTGATGATGTAGTGGTTGTGGTAGTGGTTGCTTGGGAGGAGGTGGCAATGGAAACCTCTGGATGATTAGCGGTGTTGCCCGATGCGGAGTTCAGGACACCTCCCACCAGCTGGGGATTCAAGGCCATTAATGCTGAGGCCCCAGAGACAGCTGGGAGGAGCAGGGGGTTGGAAGTAGTGTCAGTGCCTGAAAAGCTTGGTAAAGGGTTGCCCAGGGGGTTGGTTAACAGGGTGTCCACCCTGGTGCTTTCTGACTGATTGCTTGGCAAATGGTCAGGTGGGGCTGTCAGTTGTGTTACTGAGGGTAAAGGGTTATTTTGCTGCTGCAACAAATCTGAGATGGTCAGATTGAAAGATGGTAGGGGAAGCATGGCAGCTGCTTGGGCTTGATTCTGAAGGAGGGTTGCTAGAAGCTGAAAATGAACAGGCTGTAATACCTGCCCATCCACGTCACTGGAGAGAAAAGCTAAAGCAGCATTTACATTTGGGTTGAGAAAACCTAAAGGGTTGCAGTCAGCTGAAGACTTTGATCCCAGTAGGGATCGCGATGATTCTGGTTTAGGAGATGTTGCTGATTCACTGGCAAAGAGATAGGAAGAGAATTGAGGAGGTTTTGATTCAAAGAATGTGGAAGATTGTTGTTTGAAGAGCTGTTCTGCGGAAAATGAAGCGAGTGTTCGTGGCCAGCGAAAGGGAAATCGCTCCCGATGGGCAGCTGGCTCTGAAGTGGGTTTCCAGCTGCAGTAGTGACTATAACACCATCTTGAAGCACAGATGTTGTCTTTGTGATGGCAGGTTGGCTGGTGCCAGCTATGGCTATCGATGATGATGGTCCTGAAGCCCCTGCAATGCAAAAGAACACAGCTATTAACAGGATGCTGCCTGCTGGGAGACAGTCAGCAGTTACCCAAGTAACCAGGTTAATCCAAAACAGTGATATTTGGTACCCAGGCATAGGAAAGAATATGTTTTGAGCATCCAGACCTGAGTATTTTTTAATACGAACATATCTCACATCAGCTATGTCAGATAATATGTGCTGTGCCACATCTCATCAGAAATTATTTAACTACACACTTCTATTTCCCTTCAATTTCTCTGAGTGGGGATATAACAGGATTTCCTTCATTACCTGTTTTGGTCAGCATAAACCTAAAAGCAACCACAGCTCAGTGTAGTTAGTGGTGGACCAGGATGAAATGCACTACTAGCCAGAAGGATCAATGGTAGAGACAAACAATTATTTAAAGGATTATTTTGGACTCTTGAAGAAAAAAGACAAAGATGACGACTACATGTCATGATAATAAAATCTAATGAGAAAATGTATTATGGTCAAGGTAGGTTAGCAGACAAAAAAACCCCATCCAATTATAAAGAAAAAACATGTAAATAATTGGGATGGTCTATTCATATCTATCCCTTGGCATGAAAGGGTGTGTGTGGGCACATGAGGAGGTTATGTGGAAAGAGGGAGCAAATACTGAATAAAGTTTATTTGGGTATTTTTGTACCCCTTTACAAAATCTGAAGTATAAAGTAGATGATACATTGTCTTGTACTTAAGGCAGAGTTTTGAATTTACTGTAATAATACAGAAAAACCATATGAGAGAAGACCAGGAGAATTAAAGCCAGTGAAATTGCCTTGAATTATGCCCTTCTGCCTTACCCATTGGGGAACATTCAAGTACTAATCTTATATATTACACATATATTAAACTGTAAAATTATCAATATTTAACCATGGTTTTGATGCAATAAAAGAATTCTCCATTCTCAACTGCCCAGCAAATACAACTCACATGATAGAGATCAGAAGGTACTGATTATCAGAAAGTATCAATTACCATTTTTCTAAACAAATAGTACTTGAAAAGGGACATGAAATGACACCAATGATGGGTAAGAACTGAATAAAATCTTTACATAATTTGTAACTAAAAATAGCATTTTTCAAGTACTGTAACACTATGACAACTCAAAAAGGTACAAAGTTAACTCACTGTGTTGAACTCAAGAGGAGAAAGATCACACTCTCTCTCTCCCAGGTACCATTATCACATTCCAGTACAGAAACAAAATAATAAATTAACAAAACATAAAGTGAGAACAAATTGTAATCATTAAGCAGAGGATATCCTATTCTGGTGTGATGGGAAATATGTTAACAAAGCAATAAAAGCTGTTTCATGACAAGCACAGTTCTCTAGGCAGCGGTTTGGAACAAAAAAACAGATACACCCTTGAGGAACAAAAACCCAACCATGCACTGGAACGTTATGTCCCACTGGATTTCCGCTTAGGGTTTAGTATTTAACATTTCCCATTAGGCAGAAAGAGCAAATTATCTGCATCTTGATACCCCCAGGCCTGGCAAATGCCTCATGGGTACCTGAGAAAGGGGCACCCAGGCCCTCAGAGGGCAATGAAAAGCTGCTAATCAGACAAGCTGCTCAGAAATCATTCAAACCTGAGATGAAGACAGGAAGGACCAACCTCTTGGTGCAGAGGAACGAAACGTACAGCTCTGGCAGCTGAGGTTATTTTCTGCCCATGTATCTGTCTACTGCTGGTCACCTGCTTCTGGAGACAAGCAGCTCCTGGCAATGTCTCCCCAAAATGGAAGATAAGAGAAAAAAGGAAGATTTTCTCCAGCCCGTGCTTACACATAGAGGTGCACAAGACCTACTAACATGACATCTTAAGAAGATTTTCATGTGTGCCCTTCCCCCTACCCCTTTTTTTAGTATTTTGCTATATTTGTAAATAAGCCCATAGCAAAACACAGTTCGTACAAGTGGCCAGCACAACGTGAAATTAAATGCAATGTGAGATGTTTACTATTTGTTTTCAACACACAGTGTATGGACACTCTGGCTACCCAAATTCAAGCACACAAATCCCAGAGAAACTAAACTATAACTGCACATCTTCCCTTTTTTTAATTTTTTCCTCTCTGATCTCTGAAATATTTTAAATTGCATTTTTAGAAAACAAATAGAAAAGTCTTTACAACGTTTGTGACTAAAAGCAAACTCTTTTCTTTTTCCACTAGAGAAAAGAAAACACAGCCAATTACAGCAGGTTCAAACTGCTGGATCAGCACGTTACAGAGCCCACAGCCACACACACCAGTAACCACCAGGTACCTATTGGCACACAAAAAAGGAAATACTATTTTTTTTGTTTAAATCAGTATCCAGAACTGACACTCCAAGGGTCTGAATAATGGGAAAGGTCCCAAAGACCAAACTACACATTTAAGAAATACCATGACAAAGCCATTCCAAGATGGTTTTAAGAGAAGAATCAGCTGTACCACTCCAGTGACATGAGATGGATGCCTAATGTACTTAAAAATACATCAGGCCTCTTAAATGATGTTGGTTGAAAAACTGATCACTGAAGCAAAACTCTGCACTTGGAGACACATTAAACGTGAGTCTCTCAAGTTATAATCTACATCAGCATGGAGCAGGTGATACTCAAACATCTTCAAAAGGTTCTTCCTCCCACTTGTAAATGACCTTCCACACAAAATCTTGCTGTCACATTGATAAAAACAGGCAACCACCAAGCTTGGCCTGACCTGCAGGGATAGTCTGTTACACTGGATTTTCTAAGGCATGAGGTTGTTTCTGACAGTATTTTCTTTGGAAACTCTTTATTCCTGGGAAAGAGGGATACACAGGCTTTTCCTCTGTGGCTTGGAAAGGCTTCCCCAACTACCATAGATCACATTCAATGTGTTAAGCAGCACACAGATAGATTTTTAATTCAGGCGTGAGGAAAGTATTCTACACATAGAGCTCTCAGGAAAAGAAAACCTAATTTTGTTATTTTCAAGTGGACCTAATCTCTGTTTCTAATTTATTTATGAACCTGTTTTCCATTCCACTCAGTTAAATAACCACACAGTGGAGTATCTGCTGTGAAGCAAATCTCAAACTTCTAAAATTGTTGCTAGGTGTTTGTCAAACACTACTCTGATCTCTATCCCCCCTCAAACACTGCTTCAGAAGAGCTCACCTGAGAGGTCTAGAGCATGTTCAACTCTTGCTCTTTCTCCAGACTAATTAGACAATTAACTGCTACTGGGGGAAAAAAAATAAAAATGTTGATGGATTCTGAGTAGGAGGAAGAAAATGTGTCCTTATTTGAATCCAGACTTGAGAAGTTTGGGAGCTGAAGAGGCGATGAGCAGCCAGACTGCAGCAGGAAAAGAAGAAACGGGCAAATATTCCCCGCCAGCTTCTGTTCAGCCTGTCTCACTGAAAGACACAGTGGGAACTGGTATAGCAAAGTCCTGAATTGGGTAGTAGCTCATTTACTGCTGCATTCTGGGACAAATCTACCTCCAGCAACAGACAGAACATGATGTCTGGATCCCTTCCAAAACACCAACTCCAACAAGTCAATATTCTAGATGAAGAAATGCAGGCACAGCACCCTCATTAAACTATAGTGCCACTAGACATCTTCCGAATCTTTGGCCCCAGCCCAGAAGACAAAATCTCCATTGTTTATTTCTTCCTCTTTATAAAAAATGTATAATTTCTGTAATTGTTACTGATGGTGCTGCATCAACAAGGTGCAGAAGGCCATCTTCCTCTAGGAGGACCATAAGAGCCCTTGGGCAGCCCTCTGAACTGTCCTTCTCCACCTTCAAAATTACATCTCCAAGATGAATGTGAGCAGTTCTGTTTGGGTTTTTTTTGCCTCACATGAAGAGCAGGTGTGATGAGAAGACAGGGATGCCCAGCATCAACAGTGTGAAGATGTGGTAAGTTCTGTGAAATGGCATGAAAAATGCAACCTCACCAACATAAGGGTATAAGCTACACTGTGAGCACAAGAGAAGAATCACGGAATCATTCAGGTTGGAAAAGACCTTCAAGATCATCGAGTCCAACCATAATCTAACTCTACCAACCATTAACCCAACTCTACCAAATCCAGTGCATAAACCATGTCCCTCAGTCCCACATCTTTCAAACTCCCCCAGGGATGGTGATTCAACCACCTCCTTGGGCAGCCTGTTCCAGTGTTCAATCACCCTTGCAGTGAAGAAATTTCTTCTCATATCTAAACCAAACCACCTTTGGTGCAACTTGAGGCCATTTCCTCTTGTGAAGAAAAGGCACTTCAAATTAGGCTGAAACACCAAAGCATAACAGCAGAGATCTGGAACTGACTCTGGACATCCTTTGAGGTCCTTCTTTTATTCCAAGTGGCATCTAGATCCATACATTGTATTTACTAGAGCTTTCAAAGAGAGCAGGGTGATAGTGGAAACCAGATGGTGGTTGCCACTAAACAAAGGTCCCTATGCAAACAAGCTGTCTTGGCCAGCAGTGCTGTAAGGAAAGCAGGAGTGCAGCTCTGACCACCTGTACTGCCTTCAGGCCTGGAGAAGGATGAGAGCCAGAAGAAAAGGTGATGTACTGCAGCACCAAAGAGTTTTGACAATGTGTTAGCTCATTTAAACCTCCACCATGAAATGGTTCATCATTATTGCATACAGGCTCTCAGATGACAGCTGGGAGGCTTTTGATGAGAAACACTAATGGGAGTTGAAAGCTAAAAGGAAATCACAAGTTTGGTTCCAAGTTTCATAAAAACATGCTATTCCCAATCCTGGAAACCCAAGGCATCGTGCACGTCAGCTCAGTAAACAGCAGCCCTCAATAATCAGAACCTCTTAAGAGTGAAAAGAGAATAAAAAAAAGGTCACAGACTAAAAGCCATAAAAGCCTGAGCTGGTTGCCAGAGTCCAGCTCCTGCAGACACAGATGTCTGCCAAAAGTTCTTCTGCCATTTGTTGAGAAGAGGGAACTGTCT